AGTTAAGGGCACTGACTGCTGATTGCTCTTCCAGAGGACTGAAGTTCAAGTCCCATCACCCACATGGCAGCTCACAACCATCTGTAACTCTACTTCCAGGGAATCAGCATCTTCTCCTGGCCTCTACATATACAAGGCTCACAGGTAGTGCATAAACACATGCTGGCAAAACACCCAGACACATAAAGGAAAAATTTTATGTTCATGCATATAGAAAATTATTTTCTGAAGTTCTTGGATATACATTTGTATTTGGGGATAAATATAAGCCATTAAGTGCTTTTCTAATGGTTTCTAAATAAACTGAACAAGTCCATTTATTTCAGAAAGTATGGGAACACCGCTGACTTTCATATTTAAATAGCAATAAAATTATTCACTTTCATGCATACCAAAAAGACACAAAAGTGGGGAGACTTGTTGGAGAAAAATAAGCATGGAAGAGTGTTCAAGAGATGGAGGGCCAGCTGAGGAAGTGCCGACATGAGATCTAGCTGTAAGGAATTTCTCAATTAGTGATCAATGGGGGAGGGCCCAGCCCATAGTGGGTAGTACCACATCTTATTAGCTGTGGAAAAAAAACTACATGCAAGTCACATAGACCAGAAATGAAGCATAGATTAATTGGTGGCTACTAGATACCTCCTTCCCAAGGCTGGAGGTCAGCAGATTTGCAAGATTAACAACCTGCAATACAGGCTGGGGCTAGTGGCCACCAAACAGCCAAGGGGAACACCAGACAAAGCAAATCCAAGAGACAGAGGGCTTCAAAATGTGACTGTTCCCTAACTAGGTGATCAGCACACGATCAGAGCCTCGGCCCAATAAACACAGAGGAAAACCAGTCTCAATAACAATGACCTCAGCCTTTGTCCAGTCCCTGCAGTGAGTCATAAAATTGCCCAGATGAACACTGGTTCCACAGGGTCTCCTCTCACCACCCCTCCCACTCCTGGGAATTTCTCTTACTTTTCCCTAATTTCACTCCAGTCCTTGAATTTCCTTAACAGAGTCTGCATTTACTTGTTTCCACATGTGTCAATGTCTTTTATTATCAGCACCCGAGACAATGAGCAGAAGCCTACTGTCTCAGGTCACATATTATGTAACTTCATTTCTATGAACTGCTCAGAAATTTTGCAGAGACTAAACGTAGATAAGTGGTTACCTAGAGGGGAAACTCATCTGTGACTTCTCATGCTAAAGATTCCTTTGGAGCAGTGGCTCTCAACTTGTGGAGTGAAGCTCCTTTGTGTGTGGGGGGGTTGAATGACCTTTTCACAGGGGTCACCTAAGACCATCAGAAAATAAGGATATTTACAATACAATTCATAACATTGGCAAAATTTGTTATGAAGTAGCAATGAAAATTTTGTGGTTGGGGTCACCACAACGTGAGGTATTAAAAGGCCATGGCAATAGGAAGGTTGAGAACCACTGCTTTAGAGGGATAGTGAAAGTATTCTATGATTGATTATGGACATGGTTGCATACTTCTGTAAATACACTAAAGCTCTGGAATTATACACCTTATCTGTATGAATTATGTAGTATGTGATTCCTAGCTCAATAGAGCTATCACATAAAACAGACAATAACAAATGATACCAGAATATTTATTGTAGTTTTAAATCAGTCTGGTTTCTCTACATCATTTGAGCACAACAGTAATGAACACGAGATGAAAAGTTCTAATGTTGGTCTGATCTCTGGCATTTATAATCTCTCTTCTCAACCACAGGATTTTTCTTGTTATATGGACCAACATTTAATGACTGCCATCACCTGATGGCGCACAGTAGGAGCACAGTGAATATGTATAAGTACCATTACAGTGTTGCCATGTCATACATGGTTACATTGTCACAACCAGGCACTCCATTTTCTAAATCTATGATTTTGGATGATGAGGCATGAGTGTGGTGTTTGAACTTTATATATACTGTTAGTGTTGGATTGTTTTATTCAAAAGTAGAAGCATTGATTTGGAGTTACTTAGAATCACCACATGTACTTCCCTGGTCCTATGATGAATAAGCTTTAGCTAACACATCCACCTGTGAGATTATTGCTCAGTGCTTAGACTGCCAAATCCTATGCCATGTGACAAAGAGCATAGGCTTGGAGTTGCCTTCAAACCAAAAAAAAAAAAAAAAAAAAAAAAAAAAAAAAATAAGGGGGGAAAAAAGAAAGGAATTCGGTTGTTGGTAACAACACCAGAGGAACAATTCTAGATTCCCCAAACCTACAAACAATTCTGTCTTTTTTTAGAAGACAGTGACAGCAAGCTCTCCACTGCAGCTTTTCAGTAGAAAGAGGGAACATATCAAAAACATCCTGAGACAAACTCCATCCTGGGTCCTGAGTCCCAGGAAAGGAGTTCCCACGAACAGTCACAAGAGGGGGCTGCCAACCTATGCTCCCCCCAGGCTGAGCCAGGGTTGCCAGGGTGTGTACAGAGAATTTCACCTCATGTCACCTTATCATTTTATAAACACTTTGTGAATATGTTCATAGCTTCAAATACACCAGGAAGCTCAAAATACACAGGTGAGCCCACTTACTACCCAGGGAAAGTAAGAGGAGGAGCTAGGGGAGGGATAGGCAGCCTCAGCTACTTGCAAACTAGAGTTCTGATCCCTTGAAGTCATGCATTTTTATTACAGATCATCTTTCTTTTCTTTTTTCTTTTTTTTTTTTTGGCCGTTTCCTAAATGTATAAAATATATTGTGAGTAGATTCACCACCTCCCCCTTACCCTCTATTAACTCCTTTCCTTTCCCTCTGGACTTTTCTTCCCAACTAGTCCCCCACTGGCTACACTACTGAAGAAAATGACAACCCCCTCCCTGCAAGCAACCACTAACAATAATAGCCCTTCAGAAAAGTGGATGCAGGAGTAGAGTTCATGTGCACCATGAATCTGAGAAATCCTGAACAGCGCAGTGAGACTTAGTCTCAAATGAGAAAAAGAAAAGAAAGAAGTCTACTTGGATTGGAGATGTAGTTCAGGGGGAGAGCATTTGCCTAACATTCAGCAAAGCCATGGGTTTACTCTCCAGTTTGACAGGTAATCAATAAGACAGGTAATTAATATAGAGGTCAATTTTAAATGACCAAATATTCATTGTTATAGAGAACCAACAAGTTTAAGTTTTTGTAGCAGAGAGGAAGGAATGATTTAAATTTGATCCCTTCCTATATTTCTAGTAATCATTTTCAACAAACTAGAGAAACTATTTCTACATCTCTTGTCAAATGGCATCATTTCATTTTCTTCTCCAAATCTTGTTGTCCTACCCCTTATTTCTTTTCTTTGATATTTACTATCTTCAGGGCATACCACCATTGTGTGCTGGTAGAGATGAGGAGATATGAGTTAGAGTGGGGTTCACAGAAGATTGTCATGGCATACAAGTCATTGGTGTCTGATGTAAGACCAGAAGCAGCCGGTAGTTCCAGTTAGAAGAAGTAGGAGACAGATTCTTTTGCCAGAGTCCATATAGGAGGCTGGAGCACCAGAGAACTTGGCTTTTAGCATGGCTTTTGTTCTTCCATACTGATCACAGCGCCATTACACATGTAAGAAACTATTTTCATCAAATATGTTGCAAATAGCTTCTTCTACAGTATTGTTTTATTTTTAACTTGGCTTATAATATTGATGGGAAAAAGAAATTGGCATCTCTGAAAGTTAAATTATGTATTTCTGCTCTAAGACTTGTATATTGACCATATGAATAGGAAGTTTTTTCTTACCTTTACAGCACAGAGCTCAACAGGATTCACTGAAATAAAGAGCAATTCTTACCAGCTCAATAGAACACTCAGCTATCCATCAACACTGAGCTTTGCCTCTCCCACAAACAAGGGTGTATAGTTTCCTTTGAAAGATTTGGTACATTCAAACACAGCTTTGTTGAATTTGAAGTGATCTGGGCTGAAACTCCAATGGGGTTATGTAAGAAAAATACTTTCATCTTTTTTAAAACGTTATATTTAGACCTGGGAGGCGGAGATAGACCTGAGCGAGGGCCCTTGACTGGAGCCGCCCACAAAGAAGGCTTCTCTAGGAGGGGCAATGCTGGCAGCGCTGGTTTGTGGTTTGAGGCCTCCATCCTCACATCAGACACAGATTGTGAGCTCAGAAGCCTAGAACATCCGCTTGCTCTTAATTATGATCTTCGTGCGTGGAATCGCAGTTCTCCTGACTTTGGGTAAGTGTTCTGGGCCTGCGAAAGGATTGCTTTTGTGCCTAAAGACAAAGAAGCTGCACCTGCTGCCTCTACTCCCACCCCCACTCTGTGATTTTCCAGACTGCTGGAGAGAATTGGTGTCTTAGTGAGTCTGAGCATCGTCAGCACGAACAGCTGCATATCCCACTCGCAGACTTAAATATAAGAAGCTCCAGGCTCATTAAGCTTAAGGAAAGTGGCTTGTGGGCAGCTTATCTTTGCCTGTGTGATCCTGCACAGCTAAGGAGTAAATGTCAGCAATGTCCTCTGATCCTGGGCAACATGCAGTACTCAAGAGCAGAACTGGGGAGAGGAGTTCTGGCGCATTTGTGAGCCTGACATTTAGACACTCCGATATTGAATGGTCCAAAGACGATCTGTTGTTTCTTAACTCCTTAGGTATCGTGGGTGATGCTAAGACGACGCAGCCAAGTTCAATGGAAAGTACTGAAGAAGAAACTGTACACTTGCCGTGTAGCCACTCTACCATCAGTGGGAACGAGTATATTTATTGGTACCGACAGGCTCCTCTTCGGGGTCCAGAATACGTCATTCACGGTCTACAACAAAATACAAGCAATAGAATGGCCTTTCTGGCTATTCCCTCTGACAGAAAGTCAAGTACCTTGATCCTGCCTCATGTCAGCCTGAGAGATGCTGCTGTGTACCACTGTATCCTGAGAGTAGCACGCTGTGACAGACCGGGCTGCACCTGTGCAATATCTCCCTGATGGGGGCGGGGAGCAGTGGCATCCTCGTAGGAGGCCTCTGCACAGGAATGTGCAGAAGCCCTACAGGAGAAAGAGAAGACTATAGAGAACCATACAGGGATGGGAAAGGAATGCCGGGTCTGACCAGGAACAGCCAACAATAAATGGATGGACATGCCTGCAGGGCAGCTGTTTCAGTTCTGCAGTGAGAAAGGAATGAGAATCTCTGACTCCTTCTTTTCATTAAAAAAAAAGTTTATTTCTCTGTAAACCTGATTTAAAATGATGAGGAAATCCTTTTGGAGCCAGCGAAGTGTCCACACTCTGGGGACACATCACTACATCCTTCCAACATCCCTAAAATGGAAAGAAGCCTCAGCTTCCTTCCATTTACTCTTAAGAAAAAATAGATTTTTTTTTTCTGTTGCTCCCTGTGGCATACGGTCCGAATAATCAGTTTTCTAAGGAGCAGATAGTTATTTCACTTTTAATCTCCATTGAAAATTTTTATTATTTTTATATAAGATAATAAAAATGATTTTCATCATTACTCAAGTAAAAACTGACCTTCTCCTCCCCATTCGTTTTCCTCTGTAACTCCTGTAATGACCAGTTTTGGGCATTTGAAGTATATCCTGACAGTCACACTCCTTTCCATATTTATATATATCCTCCTACAGTTACCCAGTTTTATTACAGAAATCAGAATGTAACACATTTTCTGCTGCTTCTTTTTTATGTTTTCATTTATAATTATTTAAGGTGCACTAACACATTTATGTTTCTCTTCCATACCCAAATGTGACTTCATAGTGGGGATGAAAAATGTTTCCCTTGCTTTACTTCAATATTTATGTTTTCCCTTATATATCATAAACAGAATTGACAGAAGCTTCATTTGTAACTTAGACTTCCCTCAAACTAGCAATGCTGTCTCAGCCTCTCAAGTGCAGGAATACAGGACTGCACCACCACACCTGGCTAAAGTTTCATTTTATTATAGAGAGAAATTGAGGAGTTAAATTTGGTACAGAATTTGAAAAACAATATAAGGCATTTTATTAACATGAAAAATATCAGATAATCTCAATATATTCGGGTTATCCTTTGACAAAATTCAGTGTTAACTTTTTAAAAATTTTTTCATAAATTAGGAATAGGGGTGAACTTTCTTAAATTGATAAGACAACTTCATAAAATGTACAATTCAGTTCAAATTTATTGGGGTGAGTCTGAAGTCATCCCCCCTGCCGATATCAGGAACATGGTGAGAATGTCTGTCCTCGACACTTCTATTCAGCATTGTCCTAAAAGAATGGTTCAATGAAATTAGACTAAAGGAAAGATAAATGGTTTTTGTACGCTAAAGAAAGTATTGTTTTGCAGAAAACACAAGTGCCATCACTGATGACTAGGGAGTGAGGAGATGAAGAACATGGTAGAAGATACTCTTGGTTCAACCTCAAGTAGAGAAGAAGGGGAACTCTGTGATCCAAAATGCAGAGGGGGCCTTAACAATGATCTGGCACAAGAAACTACTGTAACCAGGAGACACTCAGCACTTTAATTGCTCAAATTGGGGGAGACTTTAAAACAAGCAGTGGAAGAGCATGCCACAGCCTGGCTCAAGAGTCTGTGGGACACAGAGGATGTAGTCTGACTGCTGTGGAGGCAGGAAACTGAGTAACATGATAATCCATCTCTCCTTAAGGCAAAGACTACATAACATGAAGCAATGTGAGAGAAATCCTCCCTGATGGACCAGGTTGTCAGGGCCTTTAGGAACACTCAGACACCTCCATCTGAAGTCCCCATAAACATCCAGGAATGAGATAATATCCTGAACACAGAAACTGCTGATAGAACTGGGAATAAAAGGAACTGTTTTTGACCCCTACATCATGGACCAGATAGAACTGTGTTCACAGAGAGTTGATTCAGTGGGGACCTTGATACTGCTATGCAGCTATTGTGGCTTTATTGAGTTCCATTACAGAATATGATCTTTACAAAGTGGGAGAGGTTACAGCAGATCCAAGCTATGTAGATATGAATCAAGTTTGTGAAGTGATAAAACAGTCTAGAGGAGACTTTAAGAAGTTCAAAGCCAAGAAAGAGGTCCATCTGGGTCACTTGACAAATTTGGTAAGATATGTGGCAAATTGGTGCTCTTGAGAAAATAACTTCCAGAAAGCCATATACTATGATAGTGAGCTTCTGGAAGACTTTAAGTCTCAGTTCACAGAAGGCATTAATGATATCACAGTTCAAACAAGAAAGTCTAAGCCTGCCAGGGTGGGCAGTCTTGCTCACAGAGTAAACTGCATGCATTTCTCTCCTGAAGTAAAGTTTGGTAAGGGTGGAAATGGTTCATCCAGTCTTGAGCTCCCACAAAAGCCAGGTATGGCTGAGAAACTCAACAGGGATGGCTACAGCTGTGGGGCCCATCCAGAGCCTGCAAGACAAGAGGCTTCCTTGGCATTGAGATGTGGCTGTGAGAAACACAATTGGAGTGGTTACGTCTACAGTGCCTTCCCAGAACCTGCCAGACCCGGTCCCTCTCAGCACTCAGGTTGGCTGAGGTAAAGGTAATAAGAGTAACTTCATGAGGGAGCAGAAAGGTTGAGTCAGGGGAAGAATAGAAGATAACAAGAATGGAGATACCATAATGGAGGGAGACATTTTAGGTTTACAGAGATATCAAGTACTAGGGAAATGTTTGGAGATCTACAAAGATGACACCAGCTAACAATCTAAGAAACAGAGGAGAAGCTGCCTTAAATGCCCTCCCCTGAAAATGAGATTAATGGCTGACTTCTATGCCACTGATAACCCTCATCCAGCAGCTGGTGGAAGTAGAAGCCAACACCCACAACTAATCACTGAACTGAACTGGAATCCAGATGCAGAGAAGGACGAATGACTAGCAAAGGAATCCAGACCAGGCTGGTGAAACCCACAGAAACAACTGACCTGAACATCGGGGAACTCTTGCTCCCCAGTCTGATAGCTGGGATACCAGCATGGGACTGAAGCAGACCCCAGGAACATGGGTTTCAGTGAGGAAACCTTGGAAAACTACAGGACCTCCTATAGTTTGTTTAATACTTATCCCTAGCACAGGTGGGGACTTTGGGAGCACATTCTACACAGAGGAATACTCCTTGAGCCAAGACACATGGGGGTGGGCCTAGGCCCTATCCAAAGGATATGATAGACTCTGATGACACCCTATGGAAGGCCTCACCATCCAGGGGAAGCAGAAAGGACATGTGATAGGTAGGGTTTTAGTTGGGGGGGCTGGTAGGAGAGGATGGGAGGGATAAGGGAACTGGGATTGACATGTAAAACAATCTTGTTTCTAATTCAAATAAAAAAACACCCAAATAAATAAATAAATAAATAAATAAATAAATAAATAAAGTTATAAAAATGAGTAACTTCAGACCTGTCAGACCCAAGTAGCCAAATCAAGTGTCAAGTGCAAGACAGCCCTTGGACCTGGGTCTGGACAGATTGAGAGAGACATACTAACTCCTTCAGGGTGGAGATATGCACAGTGCCCCCATGAAATCATCCCAGGATAAGGAAGCAGAAATGCACATGGAAAATGACTGTTGATTATGGAAGACCAGCTAAGGTAATACTTCTCAACCATACTCCTGTACCAAATATTGAATCTTTAAGAAAATGATTGATACAAGTGATAGAATTGTTTCAGGCTGTATTGGACCTTACTAATGGTTCACTTTGGTATCCTCTTGTGACTTAATCCCAAGCCAACTTGCATTTATCTGGAATGGTCAACAGTGGACCTTCAGAGTGTTCTCTGAAGCCACCTTCTCAGTCCCACTATTCACAGGATGGTAACCAGGACCTTGCTTTGTTATCCTGTCTGCCCCCTGTAAAAAGGTTTCATTACACAGATGACATAAGGTTAACCTCCGAGTGTTTTGTAGATTTACAAAAGCATATAAAAGACATGCTGGTGCACCTAAAGGAACGAGGATGGGTGATCCATCCACACAAGGTACAAGGGCCAGGCACAGCTGTAAAATATCTTGGAGTATTGTGACCTGTGAAGATGGGCATCATACCTGATGAAGTTATTAAGAAAATACTATATTAACCAGTGCTTGTAAATATAACATTATAGGTGTTCTTCAGGCTCTAGGGATATTGGCAGATTTCCATATCCTGACTTGTTCAATAACATAATGGGGAAGGTTGCCATATGGGATTGAGACAGAAGACTCAGGAGACATTTTAACAAGCTAACACCTTTGTGGAACAAGCCAAATGACTATGTGCCCATTACCCCAGTGCTCCTTCAGGTTAGAAGTCACCAGAAGCCAGGAAGTCTATAGCTGGGGGCTGTGGGAAAAACAACCTAAGTAAGTGGTTCCAATAGGATATTGCCCTGTGGGAAAGGGCAGAAGCATTGTACTAGCATTGTACAATGCTAGTACAGCAATTTCTGGCTGTATATAAAATACTATAACAGGTTGAACCCATAACAGGCCTACCTCAGTAACTATAAAAACAGTTTATCTAATTAAGGATTGAATCAATGGCTTTCTACCCAAGCCTCTGTCTGGGGTGGCACAGATGTAATCTCTATGGCATACATATTTACATCAAATGTGGTGTCATTTCTCTAAGTTGTCACCAATGCCACACAAGGTCTCCTGGGGTCAGTGTCCTTTCAAGTCATTGAGCCCCTGATACAGATTGACACAGACACCATGAGGTAGAAACGTATAAAAAGGAAATGGTAGCCAGTGACTAAGTCAAGAACAGTATTGTTGACAATAACTTGTAAGAGTAGGCTTGTGGTGATCTGTACTAACCACGGAGCTGTATGTAGAGGCCTCATGTTATGACTAGCCCAGTGAGAAAAGATGTGGGCAGATGCTAGGTTTAGCAGCACAGAGTAAAGAGACAGAAAGCAGAAAGGGACCAGAGTCTGACCTCAGTAGATGAGATGATTTATTTCAAATGGTTTATTTCCAACAGTGAAG